CCCCAAAACCCCAAAACCCCAAAACCCCAGATTAAAAATTTAAAGATTGAAATAAAATTTTTATTTAAGGCTTTAAATTATTTGTCAAAAAACTCTTAACTATAATTTCCAATTTTGATGGAAGTGTCATAATTCTAGTTAATGGTTAAAATTTTTGCAATAGAACTCTCACAATTATTAGACTCCTTATATATGAATAGTCTATTGACAAGTAGGGCAATATTTTTTCTCCTTAGTCCAATTATTAAGACAATTTTGATGAAAATAGTGCTCGCATGATGTTATAGAAACCCTGCATTTATCTTCAAATTTTATTTGACAAATCTAACATTTTCGAAGTTTAGTAAAGCTTAATTCTATAAATTTGAAAATTAGTTTGATTTAAATTTCTGCTATTTTTTCTGCTATTTTCTATCTACATAAGCAACATATCAAACAAATCAATGGAAGACAGAGAATGAAAGTTGCTATCATTGATATAATTAACCATGATTTGAGGCCTAATACAATAATAAGCAGTGCATCAATGAAGAAAATATTAGTAAAGTTGCTCCAGCAATCACTATCGAATAAATTAATTATTCCATACCAAACAAAGCAACCCACAGTGAGATGTTACAATGCAGTTTGGACGTATTATGCTACTTCTTGATTTACCAAATTTTTCTTGGAAGCAATAATACAAATTATTCCGATTGTTAATGAAATTGATAAGTAGTAAACCGTATAATTGTAAACAAATCCTCTGGGACTTAAATTGCAATCTTCGATTTCATCCTTGCTTAATAAAAGCGAAGTTCCAAACAAAATTATCAAAATTGCCTCAACTAATAGTAATTTCAAGCTCTCTTAATCAAGTTTTTTATATTCTGAGTAGCTGATATTGGTTGTTTATCTTTTGAGTTTTAATGATTCAGAATCATCAAAAATTAAAAGTGGTTCTCTATTTGCTCCCTAATACATTTAGCTCGATAACTTACTTGTGTTATTTTACTAAATATATTATATTTAATGGAAAATAAAGTCGAATTTCATTAACTCAAAAATTAATTAATTCTGATCAGAAGGGGTTTTGGGGTTTTGGGGTTTTGGGG